CACACACACACACACACACTTGCATACGCTCACGACCCCAGTACTCAGGAGGGAGGCTAAGGCAAAGGGACCCGAGGTTGGAGTCCAGCCTGGGCCACTGTTGACACATGTACATATCGACACCGATACTCTCACGTAACGGTCTGCTCAAAGCTGAGTTGATATGTACTGAATGGTATTATTTACCATTAAGTGAAAGCAGTAAACAATGAGCACGTGACACCGAAGCCCAGGGAAGGCAGGCAGTCAGTTACACAGCCTCTGAGGGTCGGGGATGTCCTGGCAGCCATACTTAGAAGCATCCTTTCTGTGAGGACCTGGATGAATGCACCCACTTCTCCGTGGTCCTCAACACCACACAACAGGGCCAAGGAGGATGCAGAAGGTATAACTATGTTTGCCAGCTGAAAACCCAAGACAGGTCTAAGAGGTCAGTACCTAGACAAAAGCAAAAAGCTGTCTCCGGAAAGCTAAGAGCCTGGGTGATGAAATTAGCCCGGCTAACGGCAGAAAATCCTGGCAGAGCCATCACCATATGGCACCCTAGGAGGGATGGCTGCCTAATGTTGACTTATAGAACCCTACCCTGGGGATGCCGCTAGACCCCAAGGCGTCCTCCAGGGTCACAGGTGGCTCCCCTTAGTGACAAAGACCTTCGGAAGCCCTCCTGTTCTTGTGGTCTCCAAATGGTAGAGAAAAGCAACATGTGTTCAAACTGCATGAGAGAAAGAAGGGGATTTTAAATTGGTCACTGCGAATGGTGACCAGGACCCCAATGCACTTCCCTAAAGGAACGTTCGGTGACATTAGACGTGGAGTTGGCTCTCCAGGAACCCTGTTCCTGCCCTACAGTGCTTCGACTGGAAGGCATGCACAACACACGGGCTGTCACTGACTTAGCTGAGAACTTGGTAACATGGCTTGGGAAAGTATTAAAATTCCTCACACTACATCTCATTTGTCAATTACTATAAAGTGATAACACTTGTGGATTTCCCTTGCTATTTGAGTATAATAAATATAATGTATTTCTAGCATAGTGATGGAATCTGCCCAAAGCAAGACATTATTTTCTACTTCTACCTTCCAACAGTCAACTGAGGTGGCCACTATGTCAAAGGGATCCCTGGTCAAGGCCTCCTACAGCCAGCAGAAACCCACCTCATTTGTGCTATGAAATACAGCCCAGGATTCTGAACTACTGATGGACGCACGAACAGTCTTTGTCTTTTAGCCGCTGCAGCCTGAGTTAGCACTTCTGAACTGGCCACCCCGATCACTTGTTCCTTCTCTTCTTTTCTCCCTTTTTCTTTCCTTTTGTCACTAGGCCTCATGGAGCCCATGCTGCCCTTGAACGAGCTAGGCAGCTGAGAACAACCTTCCAGGTGCTGGGACTCCAGGCACATGCCAGCCTGCCCGGCTTTCCCAGCCTGCCTTTCCTGGTCATCAGCTGGAGGTCCAGCTAACTACTTGCAACAAATGCAACATTAGCAGCTTTTTCTTACACTAAGCAGACTCCTTTTCCTAAGGCACCTATCTTGGCAGCTCTCATTGCCTAACAGCTTCAGGACCCGGAAATTAACTGTTCCTACTGCCAGCAGGTGGCGGTGGCCATGGGGGGTAAAATGGACTTCATGACAGGAAAGGGCACTGTACTTCTGTACCCCAAGCTCCGCACAGTCCTGTCGTCATCTTGTTTGGTGGTGATCTGCGTCAGGGCACAGTGCTGAGATGGACCCAGTACATCAGAGATCAATCAGTGTTTAGATGATTGTGGACATGAACTAATGAGCACAGCGAAGACGCTCTAGATCGATGAATGTGACAAGTGGCCTTTTTTTCATCTCTGACTGTTTTATGTTTTCATAGTCCTGTGGGTCAAACTTGGGGCCTTGTATACACTAAGCATGGACATTACCACTGAACTACACTCTAAGAGACTCTGCCTCTGCTGATGGAGGCCCAGGCACCTCTAGTAAACTAAGCTATTCTAAATCTATAGCAAGGTGCACAAATCTTCAAATAAACAGATTGTTATAACCCTCTGACTCATCTTTGGCTCAACATTATACTTGTGAGATTCAATCAGTTTTATGAATTATTCTATGTGTCTTTAATCTATCTGATGAGACAGTTTTACCTACAGATGACCTGGGATGTTTCTAGGAAGGGATCATTGTATTAAAGCTTCTGTGACCATACTGTTCAGTTACTTCTTATTTTGACATAAACTCCTATAGTATTTAACTCTTGTATATCCCCTGTAGCCAGATTCACTCACTTTTATTTTTCTCTTTTACCTTTAAAGCTTATCATTATCACCATCATTATGATGATGATTGTATGTGGGATGTGTGTGTGTGCGCGTGCGCACACCATGTGCAGCGTGTGTGGAGGTCACAGGACTTCATGGAGTCAGTTCTGACCTTCTACCTTTGCATGGGTTCTGGGTTAAACTCAGGCCTCCAGGTCTGCACGGCAAAGCCCCATTACCCAATCAGCCATCTCACCTGCCTGACCGCCCCCCCCCCATTTTTAAGTTTGCCACATTTACTAAGTCATTCACTCTCTTCCCTTCTCCTGCTCCAAATACTTCCCACCCACCCCAAAAACTCTGAGAGCAGGTAATGTACACTGTCTGCTCCTTAATTCCACAACAGTCAAGAGTAACTGGTACACAGTCGGACTGACGTCCACACACACCTGAGGCCATTACTGACCCAGCAACCACTGATGTATTTATCAGTGATTTTACAGACTGCCTTTCAACATGGGTTCCTCTGACGGTTCTTTATATTAAACCCCGTGGTTCTAGGCTACCATACTATGCAGGTGATGTTACGCCCTTCTCTAGGTACATACCCAGAAGCCAATCATTTGCCTGTTTCCTTTCAACTGCTTGGTTAGACTATTGCCCAGTTCACCTACCATCCACAGCTACTGCGTCTTTTTGTAATTACCAGTCGGCAGACCCTCCAGACTGAGTATTTCTCATCAGACTTCATCAACCCTGAATGTAGATCTTTGCTTGCGTCAACCTTTGCTCAGATGGTTGTAACATGACTTTTCTTTCATTCCATTATCCTTATTTTTGAGTCAGAACTCTACCAAGAGGAGGGCTTCCCCATCTCCTGCCTCCTGCTCATCTCTAGTAGCCACTGGCATGGATTGTGAATTCTTGATAAATGGGCTGAAATGTTCCTAGTCTAGTCTATTTTTGTGGCTCACTGTGTCCTACAACTGGCCGCTGCTTGCTCTTTACGCCTTCTAAAACATGCTACCACTCTTTAAGCATCCCTGATTTTTTTTTTTTTAGACATGGAAAAGACATTTATTACCAAGGTATAAATGGGTGGGGTGGGAGTGGCCAGCAGTCACATTTTGGGCATCTGCCCTTTCTGTCTGTCTTCCTGGGCTTTTATTCGGAGTTCCTCATCTAGACGTTCCTTCGCACGGACAACCTTTGATTGCAAGTAGAAGGAGCCTCCCGCGGACGTATCGTTCACCTTAAATAGGTGTTCATAATTCTTCTGGACCTGCTCAGGGTTCAGCTTGGAGATGTTGAGAATCTGCTGGGCCTCTTGAAGGCTGAGGCCAGAAAGGTTGGATGCAGTTGCAGACTGGTGCCCAGCACGACCCTGAGCATCAGCGGCTGCCTGGCTTGCTGCAAACTCCTGCCTCAGCGCCCGGGCAAAGGCTCTGCCCACCACCTGCACACCCATCACGATGGTCTGGGCCAGGTACTTGGCCATGGCAGCCACTGTGCCTCAGGGGCACAGGGTCAGCATCTCTTTGATGTTTGAAACCTGGTGCTTCTGGCTTCTGCCTCACTTCCTCCTCTTCATCTCTGGGTCCCTGGTTCCTTTTAATGAGGAACATCATAGACTCTGAAGTCACACTGACTCTAAGCTGTATGTGTGCACATGGGGGTGTGTGCAGAAGCACTTTGTATGTCCAACCCAGCTCATCTACATTGTATTTCCCTTCATTATTATATAGATAATCGTTTGGAATTTTTGAGACAGTGTCTCATATAGACCAGGTTAGCCTCAAACTTGTAGCCAAGGATGACTCTGAACTCCTGATCCTCCTGCCTCCACTTCCCGTACACAGGGATTATTATAGGCATGGGTCAACATGCCTGGCCCAGTTTCAATACATTTATGAATTCCCTTAAATACACTAATTTCTTCAAAACTACTATATTCATACCAGCTTATAAACTACACCTAGGAATTTGTTTTCCTTTTAAATTTATTTTTATGTGCAAAATACTTGGGCTCATTTTCATTTGCTCAAAGTTGGGTATGACTCCCACCTTTGGTGTTAGGCTTACCGACACAATTACTGCCAGTCCTCACTGATTTCCCCAATTCCCAGATCCAGAAAACACTAGCATGGTTCCGAAGGTCAGAACAATACATCTCCCATCTCTTCTGTTCAGTTCCCTCTTCTAACCTCCTCACAGGGTAGCTGTCCAGCTTCCTGTTCAGTCATCCTTCTTGTGTAGCGTGCGTGTGTGCATGTGTGCACGTTATGAATTTGAAGTTATAAAATCTTGTATGCCCATGCTGAATGGAAGAAGTCATCCCTGTACCTACCCTTCTGGGACATGAAGAGTTTCTCGATTTATTTAGGTTTCTGATCCACTGGTTTTATTTGTGGTATGAGGAATGCATCTAATTTTACCTTTTTTCTGAATGGTTAGCCAGCCACCTTAAATGCCACTGATTAAGAGGCTATCTCTGTCCTGGGGACTGAGCCGCTAACTTTCCATAATGTCCTGTGTCTGTTCCGTTTTCAGACATTTCATTCTGCTCTAGTCTGTGGCCACGCCATTGTTTTTGTTGTTGGTGGTGTTTTTTAATTACTTTTGGTTAACTGTGTATGTGTGTGAGTTTGGTTTTTCAAGACAGGTTTCTCTGTGTAACCTTGGCTGTCCTGGAACTCACTCTGTAGGCCAGGCTGGCTGTGAACTCACAGAGATGCTCCTGCCTCTGCCTCATGAGTGCTGGGATTACAGGCACGCACCACCCCCACCCAGCCCACACCATCATATTAATAAAGGGTTTCAAGGCCCGACAGGCCAGCCCCTGTTGGTTTTCCTCCTGTGTTTAGCTGCACGCTTCTCTTTCCAAAGAGCTATATAGCCACCACCCTACGCCTTCTGGAAACAAAACAGTTCTTGAGTCTTTATTGAGATGCCATCACATCCACAAGTTAACAGTAAAGACCAGCACCTTAGTGCAGAAACGCCTTCTTTAGAATGAGGAAGAGCTGAACAAGAGGTGGAGGCAGGAGGCTGTTGAGTGCAAAGCTAGTCTGGGCTACAGAATGAGTGCTAGGCCAGCTTGGGCAGCTCAGTGAGACTTCAGCAAGAAAAGAAGAGGCTGGAGAGCCGGCCCAGTGGTCAAGAGTGCACACTGCTCTCCAGTTCCTACACTCACATGGATAACTCCAGCTCCAAGGGATCCTTCTCCTGGACTCTGGTCTCCTGCATGCATGTGCACAGTTAAAGGGGAAGCCATGAGTACAGCTTAGCATGCATGAGGGCCCAGCTTCATCCCCAGGACTGGAAAACAAACAAAAGCACTATGAAGGTTTGTTCACGTCGACGGTGGCTTTGTGATCTGTAGACACTGTCTGTATTAGTTTCCTAGGGCAGCTGTAATAAAATCCCAAAGAGTGGTGACTGAAATAACAGACACTCATTTTCCTGTGGTCCTGGGGGTAAACATCCAGGATGAAGGCAGTGGTGAGCTGGCTTCAGCTGAGACCTCTGTCCTTAGCTCCCCATGGCCTTCTTTCCCGGTGTATCTCGGCACAGCCTAACCCTGTCTTGTAAGGATGTTAGCAGACTACATTAGCACTCCCCACAATGCCTTCATCTCAATTTATCTTTTCCTTCAAGGCCCTGTCTCTAAAACCCACATTCCGTGGTACTTGGGATAAGAGTTCCAACATGAATTTAGGGACACACAACCTGGTCCACGCAGGTGCAGGTGCACAGGGTGCCTTCGGAGTCTCGAATCCCTAACTTCACTTGAGGGCAGCATGCCTGGTTGGGAACTGCTGCAATCCTTGCATTTCTGGAAACGCTTCTTTCTGCAAGACACCTCTGAGAAGCCAGACTCCAAACTTGCTTCCTAAACATTATCAGTAACCTGTTCTTTTTGCTTTGGTCCTGAGGTTTATCCCTGGATGTGGAGCCAGATGGATTTCCTAAGCTTCGTCTCAAAGCTGATCGGGTCCTGTGTTCGGAGAACCCTGAGAACTAACACCCTGACCTGCTTGAGCTTTGAGCCCCTCCTGAAACAGGGGCCTGGCTGAGTGGGGCTTTTCTCACCTAGCTGACAACCGCCTGAGTGAGTGAGTGAGTGAGTGAGTGAGTGAGTGAGTGAGTGAATGAGAGTGTGTATGTGTGTGTGTGCGTGTGGTGTAGGTTCAGGTAAACATGTATGTGGAGACCAGAGGTTGACATCAGCTGTTTTCCTCAATCACTTTCCCACTTTACCTTTTGAGACAAGGTCTTACTCAACCTGGAGCTCACCCGTTTGGCTGGACTGGCTGGATCTCAAGCTACAGGGATCTTCCTCGCTCTACCTCCCCAGCGCTGGGGTTCCAGGCACATGCTGCCTGGGAACTCTGCTTTGTGTGGGCGTACTGGGGACCTAAATTCAGGTCTGCAGGCTTGTGCAGGAAGTACTTTGCCAGCTAAGGAAAGAGAAGCCATCTCTCTGCCAAGTCTTTAAAGACAAAGACGATTTACTTTATGGTTATGTGTGTATCTGTGAACACATCTGTACATGTATGTTAGTGCTGGTGGGATCTGAGGCCAGAGGCATCAGATCCCCTGAAGCTGGAATTACAGGCAATCGTAAGCCGCCCAATATGGGTCCTGGGAATTGTACATGGATCGTCTATAAGAGCAGTGTGTGCTCTTAGCCACAGAACCCTCTCTCCAGCCCCCTGGCCTAAGTCTAAGATGCTCTCTGCTCTTTTGGAAGGATGGAGTCAGATGCTTCCTTTCCTCACCACTGTTGACTCTGCTTTCCAAACTCTGCATCTCCTTCCATGAAAAATTAAAATCCCTCTCCCACCAACAGGAAAACCAAACAAAGACTAAAGCTGCAGTATGCTGAAGTCTGAGGAGACATGTGTGATTCTGCGGTGGACTCGGCTTTTCTGCGTCACCAAGGCACATGGGAAAGGGACAACCAGGAACAGCTAAAATTATACGGCAGCGCTCAACAGCATTCCTGTTCACCCCGGACTGCAGCTTTGTCCAGACGCAGGCATGGCCTGAAATTCTACACCGAATGGTCAGGGGCAAAGTGTTCTGGTCTACCCTGACAAGTCTTCAGCTGTGCTGACCCTCCAAATGTTCTCCAAAAGGCAGCTGGTTTCTGCTTTAACACACAAGAAAGTTCTCACGATGAGGCTGCCAGCCCTTGTCTGTGTGTCCACGAAGACAAGACTGGCAATCAAGCTACCTAAATGCTTCCTGCCTGGTCCTGCAAGTGCAGGAGGTGTTCAGCTGAGTGACCGGAGCAGAGTGACTGCCTTTGGGGCTCTGAGCAAACCACCAGACTTCTCGGGGTTTCACCCTCGTCACCTTCCATAAAAGAGCACCGCTCTGCTCAGGGAGCGCCACTCCTGATGCTGTGCGTCTGCTGTCCTGACCTGTGGACACCTCATTCTAGTTCAGCAGCATGCTGCGCAAAGCTCCACCCAGGTAACATCTCAGGACACTGCTCTGGGGTTGACGAAGAGCAGAGAGGTGGCCCAGCCCGCCCTGTAGCAGTTCTTACCAAAAGGGCAAGTTGTCAGAGCAGCTGCCTAGGACAGATGTCCCTGATAGAGGACACTGGGTGACCTTGTGGGCAGAAACCTTTCACATGGGGGGGAGGTGTGAGATGGTTTTTCAATAGTATGTATGCTTGTAAAATAAAATTCCTTACTTCAAGATATGTCTTGGGAACTAAGAAATGGTTCTCTAAATCTTAATCAAGGTTAAATTTTAACAGCAATAAACAATAGCTAAAAACCCTTTATCTTTCTGTTTGCTCACTGGTGGTGAGGAGATGAGGGTGGGCAGGGTTTGAAATCACAGATAAGGTGCCCTGAGCTGGGCAATAAAAGTCAACGGGAGGGCACGGCTCCACCACAGGGTGTCGGCTCCACCACAGGGTGTTTCCACACCCATTCTTCACATCTGCAATCTGTCTTGCGCAGGGAAGCAGACTCAGCCTGGCTAAGTAGATCACTCTGGACCTAGTGTCTGATCAAAGAGGGGCCACGGCTTGAGTCAAAGCCTGTTCACAGCCAGGGTCACTACCTCGTCCTTCAAAACTGAGAGCAGCCTGTGGAAGTCGCTTCAA